GGATGGTCTCGATCTCTTGACCTCGTGATCCACCCGCCTCGGCCTCCCAAAGTGCTGGGATTACAGGCGTGAGCCACCGCGCCCGGCATATATCCATGTTTATTCTGGGGTTTATAGGAAACTTTGTTAAGTAGTTTTTTGGTAAAGGCTGTCAGGGATCTTTTGTGATAAACTTGCTTTGTCTGTTTTTATGTGGGAATAAAGGAAGATACAGAATCAGTGGGGTCCCCCTGCTACTGCCATCTTCCCAGAATTCCATCAGTTGGTTATTTTGTTTCTTTGTTCCCAAAGTAGTCTGAAAAATCTGAAGATAAGGTGATTCTGTTTGATAAGTTAGGTTCTATTATGATTTTCTTTGATTAGTAGAAATCTGTGTGTCTAAGGAACTCTGGTGATGATATTCATTTCCTTCATTAAAAGTTATGGAAGAAAGTAACATCTCTAAATTTGAAAAGAAAGTTTAGAATCTGGTAAGCTTTCTCTTTAGCAGATTGTACTGCTGAATTGTGATTTTTTTTTTTTAACCTGACTATAGCTGTGGGTCTCATACCTTGAATAAATAGTTATATATTGTTCTATGTACTTATGTATGACACTGTGTTGCCCTTCCAGTATTTAGATATGAAGTTATATATGATCCTGGGTTGCCTTCCTAGGGAATGGTTCTCTTTTTCTTTTTCCGTCTCACATATCTTTTCTAAATGATGTGCTGATTAGATTACATAAGACAACCTATTTAAAAAACCAGAAATCTCTCATCACTTCTTAAGAACCATGGCTGCCCTAAACACTATTATTATCCCCAGTAGAAGAAAACCGTAGCAGAGCCTAGTTTCATTTAAGTGTTTATTTGTACAACAGTTTTTATATTTCTTCCTGCTGAGGATTTTAAAAGCCAAATAACATTTTATCACAAAAAGTTAAATTAGGCATAATCATGTAAACTAATGCTATGCACAGTCCAATTCTGTGTTGATTTTTCCTATTAAAGCATTAATGTGGTTCTCACTTTCATGGACTTTCTGGACTAGCAGGTGACACTGATCTGAATATGTAGCCTACACAGTGGTTATAAAAGTGAATTGATTTTAGAATAACTTTAGATTTACACACAACTTGGGAGGATTATGTTTAACTTTTAAAGAAAAGTTTAACTTAAAAGTTAAAAATGTATGTTTAATATTTAAAGAAACTGTCAAACAGTTTCACAAAGTAGCTGTACCATTTTGTATTCTAATCTGCATGCACTGAAAGTTCCTTTTGCTCTATATCCTTGCCAGCATTGAAAAGTATGTATTTTAGCAATTCTAATAGGTAGGTAGTGGTATTTCATTTTGCTTTTAATGAGTATTTTCCTAATGCCAGATTAACTTAATCTTTTCGTATATTTATTTACCATCCATATATCTTCTTTGGTGAAGTGTCTATTCACAGCATTTGCACATTTCTTTATCAGGTGTTTTACTTTATTGATGTTGAGTTTTAAGATTTTTTACTGTTTTATATTCTGGATACAAGTTATTTACCGGATATGCTATTTGCAAATATTTTCTTCTAATCTATAATTTGTCTTTTTTTTTTGAGACAGTCTTGCTCTGTTGCCCAGGCTGGAGTGCAGTGGCATGACCTCTGCTCACTGCAATCTCTGCCTCCCAGGTTCAAGAGATTCTTGTGCCTCAGCCTCTTGAGTAGCTGGGTCTATAGGTATGTGCCACCACACCTAGCTAATTTTTGTATTTTTAGTAGAGGTGGGGTTTTGCCATGTTGCCCAGGCTGGTCTTGAACTCCTGGCCTCAACTGATCTGCTCGCCTCAGCCTCCCAAAGTGCTGGGATTACAAGTGTGAGCCACCACGCCTGGTTTCAATGACTTTTCATTTTCTTAACATTGTCTTCACAGAGCAAAAGTTTTATGTGGTGATAAATTTTTAATCAATATTTTTAATAATGTATTGTGATTTTTTGGTGTCTAAAAGCTCATTGCCAAATTCAGCGTCACAAAAATTTTCTGTGTTTATTTGTAAACGCTTTGTAATTTAAGTTTAGGTCTCTGATCCATTTTGAGATGTGATTTGTATAAGGTACAAGTTGTATGTCAAGGTTCACGCTTTTGCAGATGTCCAGTTGTTCCATAAACATTTGTTGAAAACATTGTCCTTTCTCAACTTTATTGCATTTGTACCTTTGTCAAAAATCAGTTGACTCAATTTGTGTGTGTCATTTCTAGGCTCTCCATTTTGTTCCACTGATGTGTGTGTCTATACTTTCACCAGTGCTGCACTGTCTTGTAATTGTAGTAGTAAATTCCACATTCCTTGCCTTTTCATATATTTTAGAGTCAGCTTGTTGATGTTTACTGAAAGCTTGCTGGGATTAAGATTGAAATTGCACTACTTTTATAGATCAAAATAGGGAGAATTGATACTTCAACATTATAGAGTTCAAATGCATGTATATAGTTTATTTCTACATTTATTTAGATTTTTGATTTCTTCCTCAGTTTTTCAGTGGTTTTCAGCATTCAGCAAATTCTGCACATATTTTGTTAGCTGTCTACCCAAGTCCTGCTCTTTTTTTTTTCAGTGCTGTTTTGTAAATGTTATACTTACTAGTTTACTAGTTTTAAATTCCTCTTGTTCATTGTAATGGGAATGCCGTTGACTTTTTTTTTTTTTTGAGAGGGAGTTTCGCCTTACCCAGGCTGGAGTGCAATGGCGCGATCTGGCTCACCGCAACCTCCGCCTCCTGGGTTCAGGCAATTTTCCTCCCTCAGCCTCCTTAGTAGCTGGGATTACAGGCACGCGCCAGCATGCCCAGCTGATTTTTTGTATTTTTGGTAGAAACGGGGTTTCACCATGTTGACCGGATGGTCTTGATGTCTTGACCTCGTGATCCACCCGCCTCGGCCTCCCAAAGTGCTGGGATTACAGGCTTGAGCCACCGCGCCCGGCCCCGCAGTTGACTTTTATATAGTGACTTCGTATCCTGCAACCTTGCTAAATTCACTTACTCTAGGAGTTGTTTTTTAAGGAAAGTCTGCGTGGGCAATCATTTTGCTGGTTGAGACAGTTTTATTTCTTCCTTTCCAGTTCCTATGTCTTTTATTTTTCTTACTTGTTGCACTGGCTGGACTTCCAGTATAGTGTTAGAAGTAGTAAGAGACAATATCTTTGCTTTGTTAATGATATGGTGAGAATATTCAGTTTCTCACCATTAATTATGATGTTGGCTATAAGTTTTTTAAAGATGCCATTTATTAGGTTAAGGAAATTTACTTCTAAGTTTGCTGAGAATGAATTCTCATTGTGAATTCATAATCATGAATAGATATTGAAATGTGTTAAACGCGTTTTCGGAATCTGTTGACATTATATAGTTTTCCTTATTCAGCCTATTAATATGGTGAATTACATTGATTTTCATATTTTGAATTAGCTGTACATTTCTGGAACCCCACTTGGTTGTGATGTATCTTTTTATATATTACTGGATTTAATTAGCTAATATTTTGTAGAGCATTTTGAATATTTTGTTGACTGTGACCATGAGGAACATTGGTCCATAGTTTTCTTGTAATATCTTTGTCTGCTTTTAGTATTAGGGGAATGCTGGTGTGATAAAATAAGTTAGAAGGTGTTCCCTCCTTTTTTATCTTACGGCATAGATTTTATAAAATCTGTGTTATTCCTTAAATGTTTGTTGGTACTTGCCAATGAAGCCACCTTGATCTAGAGTTTTCTTTCTTAGAAGGTTTTAAATGTATGAATTCAATTTCATACTTATATGTGTATCTATGTATGTGTGTGTACACATACATGTATCCACACACATCTACTCATATATATTCAGGTTCTCTTTTCTTCTTGAGTTTTGGTAGCTTGTATCTTTCAGAGAACTGACCCATTTTATCTACATTGATGAACTTAGAAATATAGGGCTATTTATAGTATTTATTTTTTAATGTATGTTAGATCACTAATGATGTTTCCTCTTTCATTTGTGATGCCAGTAATTTGTGTCTTCTGTACTTATTTATTTATTTTTTGGTCAGCCTGACTAGAGCTTTATCAATTTTATTGATCTTTTCAGATAATCAGCTTTTGGTTTTACTTCTATTCTCTATTTTTCAATTTTTATTAATTTCTACTCTGATTTTTATTTTTCTTTTCCTGCTTATACTGGTTTTAATTTGTTCTTCTTTTTCTAATTGTCTACAGAAGAAGCATAGGTTACTAATTTCTGTCCTTTTTAAATATATGCATTTAATGCTGTACAATTTTGAACAATGTTTATATTTAAATTTTAGCAAAGCCATGTGGTTTATCAAGAAATCTTTCTGAAAGAATGGTGTTCATGGGGCACATAAAAAGAAAAACATTGCAGAATCATGGAGTTTATTTGAACAAGTGGGAGAGAATAACAGTCTGGCAGAGGAAGAAAAAATAAGAAATTCATGTTTGGGCATGTGCCTATAGTCTCAGCTACTCAGAAGGCTGAGGTGGGAGGATCCCTTGAGCCTAGGAAGCAGAGGTTGCAATGAGCTGAGGCTGTACTCCAGCCTGCATGATAGAGGAAGACCCTGTCTCAAAAAAAAAAGAAAAAAAAAGAAAAAGGAAAATGAAATTCATGTTTGTAAGTGAAACTACTGTGAAAGAAGGGCATTAAAGATAAAAATCACATTTAAGGTTTATTTAACAATTATGTATTTGTATTTAACACTGTATTAATGTTTAGCAATTAGGTACCTGTATTTTATTTTAGAAATGATGTTAGTGATGGTGATAACCTCTGTATAATTGCCACTGAAAAGAACAGTGTGTGAGTACACTATAAATACTCAAATGCCTTTTTGAAGATATCCTTGTGCTGCAGACTGTGTCAAATACAAATTACCTGTACGGTTTTCTTTTTTCGTTCATGGATGATATGGTTACCAACACAGGAGAAGCCTATGTTCATTTTGCTGATTCTTAGTTTTTTTTTCCCCCTTCTTTTCCTACAGAAATGCTGAGCCGATTATCAGGATTAGCAAATGTTGTTTTGCATGAATTATCAGGAGATGACACTGATCAGAATATGAGGGCTCCCTTAGACCCTGTAAGTAGCTCTGTTCTGATTTAAACTGGTGAGACACATGTTCTGTGTTCTTCTAAGGAAAATAATTTAAGATAGAAGGGTGTGAGAAGGCTTCCTGGTGCTAGATGAAGCGAGGATTAATAAAAATATTGAAATTTTATAAATGATCCTTCTCTTCTAAGTTTTTAGCTTAAAGGCCACAGTGGTGGGAAACAAGTCCTGGATACAATTTGAAAGGGTTTCTCATTTGTCTCCCTAGGCCTTGTTTAGTGCCAAATTTTTTAAAGTCCTTTCTTCTCATCCTTGGCTATTCCTGTTCCACAGGAAAGGTCTAAGTGACAAATGGGGGAACTAGAACAACTTTTGGGTTTCAAAATATCTGTTTGCTTTTATAATTTCATTTACCACCTCTCTCTCTTTTTTTTTTTTTTTTTTTTTTTTGAGACGGAGTTTCACTCATGTTGCCCAGGCTGGAGTGCAATGGCGCGATCTTGACTCACCGCAACCTCCGCTTCCTGGGTTCAGGCAATTCTCCTGTCTCAGCCTCCTGAGTAGCAGGGATTACAGGCACGCGCCACCATGCCCAGCTAATTTTTTGTATTTTTAGTAGAGACGGGGTTTCAACATGTTGACCAGGATGGTTTCGATCTCTTGACCTCGTGATCCACCCGCCTCGGCCTCCAAAAGTGCTGGGATTACAGGCTTGAGCCACCGCGCCCGGCCCCACCTCTCTTACAGTTTGTATTGTATTTTCTTTTTAAGATGACACAGATTGGCAGTATGTATTATATTTTCTGAAGGCCACATAAGGAATTTAAAAAAGTCCTTAGTTTTCTGAAAAGACAAGAAGTAATGCTTAGTGGTTAAGAGAGTTTTATTTAACTACTCCCTTCATTTTAAATTTTGGCCTTTACCTTTACTGGTTTATGATCTTTGCTTCCCTTTATTTTTCTCTTTGGTAAAATTAGGATAATAATACCTTAAATGAAATAATGTTTGCAAAATGCTTACCATTTATAAAACACTTAATACATTGTAATGGCTATGATAATGATTATTATTGGGTCAGAGTTAGATTCTTAATTTAACAAGAATATGAATTGGGTAAAACATAAGAAGTTGGAATGAAGAAACTCCTGTTGGGAAGCTAATAACTTTCCTGGTGCATTGGCAACTTCTTGTCTAAATATTAGGAATTACACCAAGAATCTGACATGGAATTTAATAATACTACACAAGAAGATGTTCAGGAGCGCCTGGCTTATGCAGAGCAATTGGTGGTGGAGCTAAAAGATATTATTAAACAGAAGGATGTTCAACTGCAGCAGAAAGATGAAGCTCTACAGGTACTATTGTTTTTATCCTTTCTTGTGGAGTGTTTGATAAAGGATAGATGATACACTACTCGCTTGTTTTTGTCTTCACTCAGATTATTAGAGAATCTGATTATTTCCCTACTACTGTATCCTTATGCCTAGAAAATAACTTTTGGGCTGGGCATGGTAGTGCACACCTGTAATCTCAGCATTTGGGGAAGCTGAGATGGGAGGATTGCTTGAGGCCAGGAGTTTGAGATCAGCCCGGGCAACATAGTGAGACCCTGCCTCCACAAAAAAATAATTTAAAAAAATTAGCTGGGCATGGTGGCGGGCACCTATAGTCCCAGTTATTCTGGAGGCTGAGATAGGAGGATCACTTGAGCCCAGGAGTTTGAGGCTAAAGTAAGTTGTGATTGTGCCACCGCACTCCAGCCCTGGTGACAAAGAGACCCTGTCTCTAAAAGTAATAATAACAAAAATAACTTTTGGTATGTGGTAGATAAGAGGTGAATAAACATTTATATATTTACCATCATTGTTCTTGGGCAGGAAGAAAGAAAAGCTGCTGATAACAAAATTAAAAAGCTAAAACTTCATGCCAAAGCCAAATTAACTTCTTTGAATAAACACATAGAAGAAATGAAGGCACAAGGAGGGACTGTTCTGCCTACAGAACCTCAGTCAGAGGAGCAACTTTCCAAGGTATGGTAACTGGCTATAGTATATATTTCCTAAGTTGAAAAAACCTACCAACAGAGCAGATTTTCACCAACCACAAACATTTAGGATGCTAAAATGATACAACACTAAATCATATTTTTTTATTTTGTTTTGTTTTTTCTTATTAAGCTTATAGTTCAGCTGGATTGTAGGCCATACACAGGAAGAATGAAAGACCTACAGAAAATATGGACATGAAATGCCAGTTGTGACTAGACTTTCAGGGAATCAAAAAAGGCTAACAGGAAGAAATAAGTACTGAAGTGAGGCATTTAAAGAGGAGAGAAACATACCTTTTGGAGGAGTTTCATCATTGATTAGAAGATTAAATTAGATTATCTCTGAGGTTTTTTCCAGCTCTGATATTTTTAAATTCACTGACTTAACACAGAATATTCTATGTCCTCACATAGTTACATAGTGGTAGATTAATGCTTCACGCATGTGGGCTGAATTACCTTGGAGTCTCTAAAAGGGAGACTCTCTAGGTTTACTATAGCAACCAACAAAACAGTTTAAGGTTGGAGATAAAGGGGAGGAGTAAGGAAAGTACTGTCCTGTGAGGAATATTGTCCCAATGCTCATATTTTCATTATCTTTCCTCTGTGGTTAAACTCCACATACTCACATTCAGTCAGCTATTTAGAGAATAAGAAACTTCAGTTTTCTGGATAATTTGGTACAGATTATCTGGAGGCAGGCATATTACATGCATACTGTAGTTACAGAGTGAATCTAGACTTCACCCTGTGTAAGAAATCTTTTTATCCTTAGTTTTTGGGAAATGAGATTTTAATCAATTTTCTAGGCACAACCCTTGGGGTCGCTAGTTAGTGACCCAGTTCCTGTTTCGTCTTTCCTCTCAGGGGCTAATGCTCAGAGGACATTACTTTTTTTGAATTAATAACCTTATTTAACTTCTCAAAGCTTATTTTAAAAGCTTCTTTCAATCTTTGCAAATTATTTCATCTTGATCCTTCTTTTCCTTTCAGTTTTTCCTCTATCAGTTCTGCTCCCCTGACTGTGGTAGCACCAACCTCTCTCCTCATATTGCTTTGCTCCCTCCAGCTTCTCCTCAGCTATGATGTCAGATTTTTAAATAATCCATTTTATACTCTGTTTTTTAATTTTTTAGCTCTGAGACCTTAAACAAATCAGTGCCTTAGAGCTCATTTTTTTCCCTCTGTTAAAGAAATGATTTCTAAGTTTCAGCAATCAGTTATAGCAACCCTTTAACTATTACATACTTAATACAGAGATAGGTATTCTGTAGAAAATAGTTGCAGAAAGGACAGCAGTCTTCAGGTGCTTGACTGACTATTATGTGAAAATAAAAAAGTATTCTTTGTAGTTCCAGTAAGCAGAAATAGCTTTGTTTGGGGGGTTAGGGGGGAGTAAATTTAATAGAGAGGCAGAATCTCAGTCTAAGGGAGAGTTTCTGGAAAAAATAGATTATTGAAAAATTTGAATTTCCCTTCACTGGCTCTTTTCTGATGTTTTGCTTCTCATTTAACAACAGCTATAGTTTCCTGAACTCTCTCCTTGATTTTTCAAGGCAACAAGACTGTGAGTTTTCTGTTAAGGTTTAGTCCTGCATGGCACTGACTGGTTTTGCCCTCAGCATAAAAGCTGTCAATATGGTAAACTCAGTGCCATTTCTTCCAATTATCACATCCCCTCCAATATCTTCTTGCTTTTGTTGTTCTCCAGTATTTTCAGATAGCTGTTATCTATATTGTCCACAGTTTGGGGTTCACATGCTTGGTGTGAGGAAAAAAAAAAAAGAAAAAAAAATATATAATATAATATATAATATATTTCACAGTTTATAGCTATTATGTGAGGGAGGGTAAGTCTAACAGGAACTACTCAGCCATACGAAAACTGGAAAACCCTAAGATTTCATGTCTGTTAGGTCAGCTGTTTTTTTCTTGCTCCCATCAGTTTAATAAAATTATAACTAAATGGTTGTAAATGAAAAATTAGAAGAAAATATTAAATATATATTAATTGTAATTCTTTTAAATAATGACTTTATCTCCTGCATTTTCAGCATGACAAGAGTTCTACAGAGGAAGAGATGGAAGTAGAAAAGATAAAACACAAACTCAAGGAGAAGGAAGAACTAATTAGCACTTTGCAAGCACAGCTTAATCAGGCACAGGCAGAACTAGCTGCACAGGTAGGGATGGAAGTTACTTCATAATCATTAGCTTAACGAATCACTAAAACCAATGGATTATTATATGACAAATACATTTTTCTAGATGCCTAATGGGCAATTATCTATGTATCTATCAGTCTCCTTCTTTTCTTCTTCTTGTCTGGTAATTTTATTAGCATATGCATTGGTGTTTATCATTTTTAGTTGTTATTTGTAGATACCCAATATGCTCTTTCAATATATTGTTTCATGTATTTTAACTTTTTTTGTTTGTTGTTTTATTTCACTTTATGGATTCTATTTTTTTGTTTACTTTTGTGTTTTTTCTGGTTTAATCTTCTATTCTGCAATGATTTTTTCTTTTTTATTGAATTTTTCATGAGTTCTGTCACCTCATTTCTGATTTTTCTAAATCTATGTTTTTCTCTCATGTCTATATTTTTTTTCCTCTCTTTTCTTTTCTTTTCTTTTTCTTTCTTTTTTTTTTTTTTTTTTT